GCGGCACTATTTCCCTATAGAGAGACCCCTAATAATAGTTTAAAATTCTCCCCCTGTGAACTTTTGTACAGACGTAAAGTCTGTGGTCCACTAAGTATACTATACTACATGAATTTTAGACAAATGATGGCACTGATAACAAGGTAAAAACTACTTACCAATATATGCTAGACCTCCGTTCGCGATTAGAGGAGACAGCCAAGCTAGCAGGATATTAGTAGTAAAAGTTACATAGAATATTACGACTTAAAAAGTAGATCACATAAGTTGGAGATTGGGGATGAAGGGCTTGTTTTGCTGCTTACAAGCACAAATAATGTTAGTGATGCAGTAGCGTAGGCGTATCCTATAATTCGATGTCATAAAAATGGTGTCAATTATATAAAGATGCAAGCGAAGGATAAGTTGTTCCACATAAATATGCTAAAAAGATACTTCCGGCTGGAAGATTACAAGGAAAAACAGAAAGGCAAAAATGTAATTCAAATTTGTGTTGAAGAGGAATTTCCAATGACCAGAACTTGTGTACTTTGATGTAGTTATCAGTAATAATAGCCTTAATGTTAATAGTAAATTGTCTCCAAGTCAGTCTAAGGAAATGTCTATCTTGCTAAATCGTTTCACAGACGTAGTAAGAGATAAGCCTGGCCTTACCCAGACGCTAAAACACAAGATAAAACGGACCTCTACTGTGCCTATAAATAAGAAACAATATCCAATTCCTCATAACTTGAAACAAGAGTTTAACAAGGAAGTTGATATATTGGAACTAGGGCTTAAAACACCATCGGAATCCCCATTTTGCTCGCCAGTGGTGCTAGTAAAAAAGGCCGATGGTACGTGGCGAGTTTGTATTGACTTTCGGGCTATTAATAGTTTATCAGAATTTGATGCTGAGCCCATGCCTACGACCGAAGATGCTCTAAATAACTTTGCTCATTTTAGTGAACTTGATTTTAGTAGGGGCTACTGGCAAGTCCCGTTGTCCAGTGACTGCAAAATTTATTCTGCCTTTGTTACACACAGAGGTTTGATACAACTGAAAGTAATACCTTTTGGATTGAAAACTGCTTGCGCTGCATTTCTAAATGTATTTTCGGGTATCCCAAAATTTAATACCTTGGTTTATTATTAGGAAATAATTGTAATAGTCTTTGCCTTTACCTACAAAAAAAAACAAAAAAACAACTTAAATCCTTTCTCAGTACTACAGAACTACCTACTAAGGCACTAGAGACTAGAACAGTCCCTCCTGGCGCTTCGAGTAATTATTGAACGCTATCGTGAGTTTGGTTGTGGAATGCTTACAGCCTACACCGACCTAAGAAGGCCTTTGACTTGATACATCGAGAATCGCTATGGGAGATTCTGAAACTTAGGGGAATTCCGACACGGATTATTGGCCTTAGCAAGCCTATATACCGTTACTGAAAGTGTTTTAAAGTGTGGTGGAGGTCTGTCGAATTTATTCCCTGTTATTTGAGGGGTGAGGCAAGGCTATGTGTTTGCACCAACACTTTTCAATACCTGCAAGGACTGGATAATGGGGAGAGCTACCATCTAAAATCACTGTGGAGCAATAATGGGCAATATGAAGGACTTTGCCGATGATGTTTCTATCCTATCTGAGTCTCTGGAAACACTTGTGGTGGATCTTGATGGAATGAGGTGAAGCCCTTGGGT